AAATAGTATAATATTTCAAGATAATAAATAAATAGTTTAATAATTGCAGAAGGCGGTGAAACAAATTTCAATGTAAAAACTTTATGAGAAGTATGTATATGTAAACTAAATATTATTTATATTTAAAAAAACACAGAAATTCAATTTAACCCGAATTTAATTTAACCAGGGTTCCCCTAATTCATAATCTAATATTCTACTAACTGCACTTAACTAAACTGTTGGGTCGTTATAAGAGCAGTATCAAAAATTAATGAGTCTCTAAGTAAGTTAAATGAAAATAGGAGAGGATGTATTTATGTCAAGGAAAGTAGGATAGGTTATTTGAAATATATGAACTAAAACAATTTCTTACGTAAAGCACTCGTTTCTCTGACTTCACATTTTCAATTCTTCCGACGCTCTGAAGTTGGCAAGAGTCTTTTTAATCCTCAAAGCGGTCAGTCTGGCCGTGGCGTTATGATACCAGCATTCTTTCATCAACTTACTCATGACATGCAACGCTTCACAACTTTGCCAACGGTTCGGTATGCTAGGCCTTTGGCGTTCAACACAAACCACCCTATACAAAAAATCAAACATCAGTCCGGCATAATTAAAAAATAAAGAGCTTGTCCTAATTTCAATAGAATTACTCCAAAACTAATAATTCTAATTAAAAGTACTCATGATTCCGACAATGGGAATTGAATCCCTTAAAAGTTCAATTTGCAAATTTCAGGCTTCTAATTCACACGATTTCTGAGTAAAGTAGTTGAGGTATGTTATCTTAATATGAATTAATTAATAATATACCTTCTCATTTCCTCAATGGTAGGATCTGAGGGTACGGCATCATAAAACGGCAATTGGTACTCATCATAAATACCACCAACATTACACCGTCTTGATATTTCCCAAAATATTAGCCCTAAAGCGTATACGNTAAATCGATTTAGACTGGCTCCTAGTTGTCTAGGATATATAGTATTTAAAAAGATATATGACCAAAAGAACATAACGGAAATAATACAGAACCAACTATAAGAAATTACAAAAGAGTAACTTTACTGCAAGATTATTGTATGTTACATATACTGCACATAAAAGATAAATAATTTTAACATTCCTGAACTTGCAATAATGTTACACTTTCAAAATTATATGTATATCTGTATGAGGAAATATACCTGTAATTATATAAGATAACACCATCCTTAAGAGTGGCTGAAGTGTAACAGTATCCATCTGTGATGCATGTGTAATTTTTGTCTTTACATAGATCACATTTGCATTTCAATGAGAGGACTCCTAAAAGAGTAATATAATTTTAAAACACCTTAATTAACAACAAAAAATAATCATTATGGAGTTCTCCAATTGACGTTAAATTACTTGATGATAACACTCACCTGTAATAATTTGGCATAGCCAAATTGAGCAGACAGTAAAGTATAAGGCAGTCCTGTACATTTTCAACTTATGTTGTCATGTACCAGTAAAAATATTACACTTATACTACAAAAACCCCTAACATAACAGTCTATTTACATAAAAACCTTCGACGAAAACATTGTAACTCGATAATTTGCAACTTATTATTTTTCTGCATTTTGTTAACTACCTTAACTACATTATTTTTCACGATTTTAAGAATAATAGAAATAATTAGTTTTCGTGTGTTCCGCATATATCGAGCGCACTCTTTTCACAAATAACAATTACTTAAAAAAATGTAATCGTATGATTATACTTATCAGCCATGTTTTTTAAGATTACTTTGCCACGTTCTGTCGAATTAAGTTGTCAAATATCTTAACAATCGTTTCACAAATAGATGGCATGATGCATGATATTCAAAGCTGTTTATAAATCATTCGATCGATTATATATGTATATACCTGCATATACCTACATTTTTAGCATTTTTTTTTTATCAAATAAGTGAATATTTTTTAAACTTTTGCAATTTCACAGTTAGATTATGTTTTTAACATTACATAGTTATTTCCTATCAAGTTGTTGCAGTAAAAAATAGGACAACAATACAGTGAAATTTAACAATTATTATTGGTCTCATTAATGTTTTGTTTTGGCACAGATATATGTTTCGGGTATTTAAGAAAGATTATCAAAAATTTATTTTTTCCATTTTAAATACACTTATTCATTTAAAAAATATTGATCTATGAATTTGAACCGATCATAAATTTAGATGAACAAGAGATTGAATAACTGATGACTACTTCAAATTTTGACATATACATGTACGCAGAATCAGATAATATTATTGTCAGTTTTGTGGTTTTGTCAAATGCCAAATAGCACATATGTCAGAAAGTTCTCCATATTGTTTACAGGATATATTTCAGCAAAACTAAATTTTAAAAATTGTACCCATATCATACCTTTATTATCAGCTGCAATAAAACCTAAAATATTATCATGACGTAACATAACTGTCTGATAAATTTCAGCCTCCCTAAACCAAGACCTTTCTTCTCTAGAGCTGAATATTTTCACAGCGACATTTTCTCCCCTCCAACGACCTCTCCACACCTCCCCATATCTACCCTGCCCAATAATTTCCACCAACTGAATTTGGCGAGCAATACTCCTCTGTACCAACAAAGGTAATCCTAAAAATCGTTAAAACTGAGCAACATATTATTGTACAATATGTTTTTATCTTACCAGATCCACTACCACTAGTCGTCATTTCGATCATGTGCTTCAAACTGACGCCGTTCAAAATGGGATGATCGGGGGCTTCGATGCTATCATCCCCTAAACCTAAATGATGATGCGTACTTCGTTTGTTTTGATAATACAGATAAATAGCCATCGCTATAATGCAAATAACGAGCGTAGGAAGAATTATTACAACTGCTATTTCTATAGTACCCAACGACGTGTCCGATGTAGCGTTATCTAAATTATTAAAAAAATATATATATTTCAAAAACAATGGCTTTTCATTTTTTATTATTTTTTTTGCCAAACCCTAGAATGGCACTGTAAACACAGTAAAATTAAATGCATTCTTTAGGCATGAATTAATAATAGATTATAAGCGTCTCAAAAGGTAAACAAAATATTTACTTTTGGAGGCGCTTTGGTTAAGTGTTAGTACACATATGTAAATTGTAAAATAGAAACAAGTACAAAGGCTAAAAAGCAAAGCTCCACAGAAAAAAACGCAAAAGATCATGCAAAAACAGTTAAAAACAATATACCTGACACAAGTCGGACTTGGTTTCGATCGGGCTAGATAGACGAAATATCAAACCGTTACCTACTGTCGATAAAAACGATTTTATATTATTTAAAACTTTCTTGAATTGCAACAATCACTGCTATTTGCTGACAATCACAGAAACGCTTGGTCTGTACATAATAATTAACAAAACATTGTGAACTACAATTATACTGTCTTTTGAGAATGGTGTAAAAGCCGAAACGATATCGCTAAACGAATAAATTCGTAAAACAAAAACAAAGTGTTTATCTTTTCTATTATCTATTACAATTTTGTAATGCAAATATAATATGATCCAAACTAAAAATTTAGATCCTTGACATCAATTATTAAACTGCATTAAAAATAGGAGGAGACTGTGGTAAATATTAATTAAAAACTTAAAAGGAATACTCACTCCTAATTACCACAAATAATTGGTAAAAATAAATAGTAATTAGGGGTGAGTATTCTTTTTAATTTTTTAATGTACTAAAAATACAAAGAATATGAAACGCTATAAAGTTGTCAATGTTAAACGTATACCATATAAAAATGTAAAATCCTCCTTTAGACTTCTTAATCTGACATTTGAAACATGAAAGAAGTTTAAAGTAGGACAACCTGGTTTTTAATTTTCCTAAAAATATGTCTGCCTCTATTCTGAAAAGTGTACAGACCAAGTTGAACCCACATTGAGACATCCCATTGAAATTTTTGAATTTAAGCTAACCTGGAGGGAAAGTAAGTTTAAGTTTTTCATTACAAAAATCCTCCTCATTGCAGCAATCCGAGGCCCTTTTTTCAATCGTTGGATAACCATATGTTACTGATTCCTTGCAATAATACAAGGAATTATTAGTCGGTGAAAAGTAAATGTTACTTTTATTCCAACATCTATTAAAATTGATATTCTTTATTAATTATATCACATGGTTTAAAATTTCGTAAAAATTTAGTACTCTTGTTTCTCCCATAACATTTTTACAACACCGTGAAAAATAATAAAATGTATTGGTGAAATAAAGTTTTATCAGACGTTTCATTGCAAATTCGCCATTTATAACTGTCAGAAAATAGTCTCACTAGGATAAGGTATACGTTGTTATATGCGCACAAAACATCAATAAAAGTTAATAAGAACATTATACAAAGTAAATACTTATATATTTACATGTTATACTTATGTTTACTTTTGATTACTTTCAAATGGTGCAAGTTTTCAAAATGTCATAAAATTCAAAACGCCAAGCAAATCAGCCTCAATTTTTTTTATACAATAAAATAAACAACAAAACTGACCATTCATGAGCTGTCACTGAAATATAATCATTGCAACTAATTCTTCTAAAAAACAGAAGAACTATTTGACTGGTCCAAAAATATAGTATGCACCAAATTACACAAATATCTCAATAAGTCAACTCAGCTCAAAAATGAGCATTTCAAATGAGAAAAATTACTTTTTAAACAAAAAATTTCCTATACATAACTCTTCCACTTTTAGATCAGTTTGACATGGTCATTTTCTACTTTAAATACCATATTTTTTGCATGTTATCTCTGGCAACACTGAGAAATGGTTTGATAATTCTGCAAAGAATTTGGCAGTACGGATTTTTATGCGTAAAAAATTGCAGGCGGATTTTTATGCAGAAGAAATTATTCATTCATAAAAGATCAAACCAAGAAATCGAAATTTGATAATACAATTATTGTTAACATAAAACTATGTTTATACATTTTTTGTGTTTCTGTTCAGACTTTTAGGTCATCGTTTTCCAAGATTATGGTTACTTCAAGTGCTTCCCTGATTAAAAATTCACCTCAATCATCTATAAAAGAGCCACAATCTTTCAAGATGACACACGAATAGAACCACTTCATTGCTATGTCTTATTGATATCTTTCCTTCACATAGCTTTCGAGGTTTAAAAGAAAAGTAAGTAAAAACCAAACCCAACCCAGGTGAGTGCATTTTTCTTTTGTTTATAGCAACATGGACCACAAAAAATTATTATTTTTGGTTGGTTTGATTAGCTATGGGTTGGGTTTGGTTGTTTTAATTACACAAAGCTATACAGCATACTAAACAATTACCTCGTTATAATAAAAATGTTTGGTAATTTTTTACATTAGTTGACATTGGAATTGAGACATGAAGTTTAGTCAGGTAGGTAGTACTCACCAAGTGAAGTAGTGTAGTAGTATTTNTCCTCCTCATTGCAGCAATCCGAGGCCCTTTTTTCAATCGTTGGATAACCATATGTTACTGATTCCTTGCAATAATACAAGGAATTATTAGTCGGTGAAAAGTAAATGTTACTTTTATTCCAACATCTATTAAAATTGATATTCTTTATTAATTATACAATCCAAATAATTTATATTATAAGCTGGAAGAAAATAATATACTCTAGTAAAAAACCTTTTGTCGCTATTACAGTTATGTCAAAAAATATTAATAATAAACAAGGGATTAGTATTTAACAGGATAGCGATAAGTAATATGCTAAAAAGAAGTAGCCAGCACCATCAATTCTAAACAAGAAAAAAAAAAAAAAGAACCTTATTTCGGAGTACAATAGTACAGTATAGTACAATTATCGCGTGCTGCTGAGAACCAATAAGTTCGAAATCGCGATCCACGTCTGGTAGTTTTGATAAAATATTGATCAAGAAGTCAATCTTTTTTATAATTAAGAGCATATTGGAACGCAGAAAAAATGCGATGTAGAGCTTCTGATAACCAAAAAACACGAAAACAAACTACTGCAAAATGATAAGAGAGGATAACAAAAGGCTAAAAAATAATAACTACACAGCCTAATAAATAGGAGTTTTCCTAGTTTGCATATCGCATGCATATACGTATACTGAAGATCCACGACAGAAATAAATGATACAAAAATGCAAAGAAAAACCACTGAAATTTTAAATAATTTAAAAGAACTGAAGAAGAGACCGTTTATTTTTGTTTACAAGTCGATTACATTATGTGCTTTGATAACTACGTAATTATACAACAATTTGGGTATCTTACGGGAGATAAAATAATCGCAAAAATTAAGGGCAATAAACTTTAAGCGTATGTTTTACTTTGTTTACGTTTAAGTTCATATTACGATAGATAGTTTTACGAAATTATAAATTAAATCGAACCACATAAAAACTACATGTAACTACTGCATACTAATTGAAGGTAGGTACAGTAATTTATTATACACAGGGTGATTATTAACATTCCAATAAGAACAAAACCATTTTCTTTTTAATTCCTTTTATAACAAGCAAATCCTTGTAACGATCAATCTACTGAACAACCTCTCTAACGTTAACAAACCACCCTACATATTAAACCCGTACCACCGAGAGGAGAAAGTAATAAGTTGCAGAAAGTAATGCCTATTTAGTCCAGAGAGCATGTAGATAAGTGCAACAAAATGTGTAAGGCCATATAAAAAATAGTTATTCTTTTTGTTTAGAATTACCTTTGGGTGTTAATTTGGGTACAAGACGAATATTGCAGAAATCCCTGTCATTGCAGCATTCCAAAGTAAATTCGTGATGTATGGGGATTTGTTTATGGCAAAACATGGGATTCCGCATTGGAAAATTGAGATCCAGACACCTAAATTTTCAAATTTTGATTGGCTACTTTTATCCGCTCACGACCAAGATAAAAATCAAATAATTGCCCGAAACGTTAGAATTCAAAAAATATTACATAAAACAGCCAGTCTTTATTCTTTTCGGGATGGGAGTGCCATATTTTAATTTACCAATTTTCGCCATTAGAGTAAAGATCTGATAAAAATGAAAAAAAAAAAGTAAGTAGGTCGTAGGTCTGAATATCAAATTACAACTATAGTCAACAAGAGCATAAGAAAAATTATTACTGACTTGTAAAATGCTGAATATATCTAAAGAATATACGTAAGGACATGTTGTTTAATTCGCTTTTTTTGCTTATTACAACAACAATTAATAGTAATCACCTACTGAAACTACCATTTTCATGAAAAAGTATTTATTTCCTTATAAAAAGCTCACTCAGAAGATAAAAAATTAAAGAAATATTTTATGAGGATTCATTTTTCGAAAAATACTTTAAAAAATATAACACTCCCGTGGGATAAAGGACAACATGAAAAGGATTACCGATAATATCCGGAACATTTCATGGATTACCAGATGCCATTTGAGCTGCTACTGATACGAGAGGCAAGAACACTTTAAAAACTGTTACTGCAAATGTTAATATACACACTACGTAATCATGCAATGAAGTTTTAAAGTACCTAAAAAATCCGATTTACGGCAATTCCACAAAACAATTAGAAAGTAATAAGTTATATTAGATGTCTATAAAAAATTTAGGTCTTCGTGAATAAAAATATTAAATAAACAGCTCAATTCTAATAAACGTCCAAAAGGAAGGTATGTTTATTACAAAACTGCATCTGGATAGTTGAAAAGAATAAAATCAGACGGAAGTGACTTAAAACCATAAGTAAATTTGGGAAATAAATTCACCAACCTAATAGGAATTGAACGGCTTTGTCTAATTATTTATTTGTTATTACACCATCAACTGTTTTCTTAATTTATTATTTTAATACAAGTTTTATTTTCTATATGCCTACGTAATTTATGTAAAATATAGTCTTTAAAGTCAATTTACCTTGAAAATTCCTCTCACTTAAGGTGAAACATAGGTATGAATAGATATTTAAAAAACTTTGTTACTTATTTATTTAAATATGAAATGGAACCAATGGGATTTAAATGTTAAAATTGCACAATAGGTTCTAAAAACTAGACTCGAGCCCTTTATTTAATCTTTCTAGCCCTTCGATTGGGCTAGGTATTTTAGACCAAATTAAAAATTATAGAATAGAAAAATAGGTGATATTCATAATACTCGAAGGTTCTTCAGTAATACTTTAGTTAGTTACAACTCACAGTAATATACGTAAGTAAACGGGTATGTTAGCTCTATTTTTTAAATTATTTTTGACGTAATACTGGCAGGGGGAAGGCACACTTTTACCTGTACCACTTGCAATTACGCCAGTTGTAGTAGATCGAAAGACAGGGAGCGGTTTTAAATTCTGATTGCACAAATCAGCAGTTTTGCAGCATAGATGCGTAGAAACTTTTCCATCTTGTTTGCACCAGTGTGGATTTTCCAGTGGTGCATAGTTGCTTCTGTTTAAACATCTAAGTGTCCACCCAGTTCAAAGTTAGTGTTCTAAATTCACTCCTGACTTAATTTTCGTTTTTTTTTTTTGTTTTAGTTTTACGAAAATTTCGACTTATAACGTTCGACTGTTTGTCGACTATCCATTGAAAAAAAAAACTATGCCCCCTAACAATACCGTTAGTAATATGCATAAAATTGAATGTTTAGTACACTCTCACATTTTCAAAGTAACCACTCCATTTGAACTATAAGTAGAATCACAAACTTGCGAGTGTATCTTTTTTCCTGAGGAGCTACTCGCTCCTTGATTACAGACTCAAGTATTTGTATGCATAAATCTTCCAACACTACTGATCACCAATGTTCAAAAATTGGAGCGTCCTTGGTAGCAGCTACTAATTAATAGAAGTAGCTCCTCAGTTTTTGGAGTAACTACTTCCAAGTGTGAACTCAACTTTTGCATATCACCAAATGACAGATTAAAGAAACATGGAAATACTTATTATTAGATTCATTTACATATTTATTTATTTTTGCCAATTTATAAACCACGTCTATATTTTATTGGAACTAAATTTTAGACATGAATTCGAAATGAATCTACAGGTAATTAAAAAGAAAACCAAAAAAAAGGAAACAAATATTGCATACCTACTTAATTCAAGAAAAATGCAAATTTTCAAATCCCTTTAGTCAGTAAACATGATAAAAGTATAATAATTTTTTATTAGAATAATCGCAAGCAATTATATTTGTTTTTTATTTTATATTTGAACGAAAAACTTGAAACTTATCATAATGTTTTTACTGGTTTTAGAAAAACAAAACAAATACAATTTTTATGAAACAGGCATTACTGTTACATTACTTCATGTAACCTTTAATTGTTTATAAAGAATAAATAATATGCATATAATATGTAGGTACATAAATTTTATATTCTGCCATTTAACTGTATATACTGTATACTGTATAACCAGATTTTTTAGTATAAATTATGTAATAGATTCACTAATTACAATTAAACTAACTTTTTGTTTGAACTTTAAATTGTTTAATGAAACCCGTGAGTTTTGTTAAGCTAATATTAGTGCTTGAATTGTAAAACTTTTAAAGGCGACGTTTTTGTTTAAATAGTGTAATTATTCATAAACTTTCTTTGAGTGTTAGTACACATCAATTTGGTTGTAGGAGGTAAGGTAGGATTTACTAAATCGATTTAGACTGGCTCCTAGTTGTCTAGGATATATAGTATTTAAAAAGATATATGACCAAAAGAACATAACGGAAATAATACAGAACCAACTATAAGAAATTACAAAAGAGTAACTTTACTGCAAGATTATTGTATGTTACATATACTGCACATAAAAGATAAATAATTTTAACATTCCTGAACTTGCAATAATGTTACACTTTCAAAATTATATGTATATCTGTATGAGGAAATATACCTGTAATTATATAAGATAACACCATCCTTAAGAGTGGCTGAAGTGTAACAGTATCCATCTGTGATGCATGTGTAATTTTTGTCTTTACATAGATCACATTTGCATTTCAATGAGAGGACTCCTAAAAGAGTAATATAATTTTAAAACACCTTAATTAACAACAAAAAATAATCATTATGGAGTTCTCCAATTGACGTTAAATTACTTGATGATAACACTCACCTGTAATAATTTGGCATAGCCAAATTGAGCAGACAGTAAAGTATAAGGCAGTCCTGTACATTTTCAACTTATGTTGTCATGTACCAGTAAAAATATTACACTTATACTACAAAAACCCCTAACATAACAGTCTATTTACATAAAAACCTTCGACGAAAACATTGTAACTCGATAATTTGCAACTTATTATTTTTCTGCATTTTGTTAACTACCTTAACTACATTATTTTTCACGATTTTAAGAATAATAGAAATAATTAGTTTTCGTGTGTTCCGCATATATCGAGCGCACTCTTTTCACAAATAACAATTACTTAAAAAAATGTAATCGTATGATTATACTTATCAGCCATGTTTTTTAAGATTACTTTGCCACGTTCTGTCGAATTAAGTTGTCAAATATCTTAACAATCGTTTCACAAATAGATGGCATGATGCATGATATTCAAAGCTGTTTATAAATCATTCGATCGATTATATATGTATATACCTGCATATACCTACATTTTTAGCATTTTTTTTTTATCAAATAAGTGAATATTTTTTAAACTTTTGCAATTTCACAGTTAGATTATGTTTTTAACATTACATAGTTATTTCCTATCAAGTTGTTGCAGTAAAAAATAGGACAACAATACAGTGAAATTTAACAATTATTATTGGTCTCATTAATGTTTTGTTTTGGCACAGATATATGTTTCGGGTATTTAAGAAAGATTATCAAAAATTTATTTTTTCCATTTTAAATACACTTATTCATTTAAAAAATATTGATCTATGAATTTGAACCGATCATAAATTTAGATGAACAAGAGATTGNATATATTTAAAAAGCATTTGCTTTCAACAAAAAGAAACTACAGCTACATTCTGTTACAGAACAACTATTGCATTTTTTTGTGTACATTTTTTCTCCTGAGGAATTTTCAAAACTAGTATAGAGATTAAGATATATTCCCTTAAACAACAATAATGTAAGTCCATCAAAGGGTACTATTATATTTATACTCATACCTTAATCCCTACGAAAACTACCACAACTTATGTCTGCATTTAAATAAATTTTTGACAGGTTTGCACTTTAATAGATATTGTACCCTTTCTTGTACAGTTTTACATGTTCCAGTTAAATTTAAATTATCCAAAAAGTAAATCAATTGAATAGATATAGTAAATATTTATTTTTCATAAAAAAATTTAAGGAACAGAAATAGCCACCAACTAATATAAAAATATTTCTACCGTGTAGTTTAATACAAAAGAAAAACGTTTTAGATGCAGTCATAAGCCTGTACTTGGCAAATTCAATAATAATTTTATTCTGTATAGAACTCTCGACACGAATTTGTACCTTTAAAACAGCACTACTGTTATTCAGAATAGATTATGGTTAACGATTTTTCAATTATAATTATTATTATTCATTACGTTATGTAAGTAGGTTAGGCAGTAATTTCATTTTTCCAGATATATAATATGGTACTTAGTAGATGTAAAAAACCATTATAGATCAAGTGATTCTTTGCGAAAATTTGAGTAATATTTTTCTGTTTGTTTTTCAATCCAACGTAAAATTATTTATAAATTAACAATCAAAAACTTTATTAATAAATCTACCGCACTTTCTTCAACAGAATACGCTGGAATTCACCAAATATTTTAATTTTCAATTATTAAAAAATAGAAACATGTTTGTGGATTCGATCATATAAGTTAAAAAAATTCACATGGTTTAAAATTTCGTAAAAATTTAGTACTCTTGTTTCTCCCATAACAT